TCCCATTATATCATTCTGAAACTTAAACTATCAAAACACAAAATCAATCCTTGCACGAAGCTAGGATCGAACACACGAACTTGATCTTTGCAGACGAACTGCAAAAATCAACTTCGCTGTTCTTTCCGAGATGTTTCGATATTATTAAGTCGAATAGATACTGTGTCGGTGCCATTATCGATCTTTACTTTATATTTCTTTAAATAGTCGTTACCGAGAAGACAGTCGGTACAAAGGCGTTTGACCACGAATGCTAGTATTTTCGTTGCGATGTTTCTTATCTGGATAGTGAATTCGACTAGGCCTAGGTGTGGTAAAGGTGTGTATCCATCGGCTTGATATAGCTGTTGAAGGGTGGTTCGAATAAATTTACTGTGGTGTGTTGATCGAATAGCTTTTTCAGTGGTCAGTGCATTCGTTATCATTACATCTATATTCCTGAAGCATCGTCTAAATTTTATGCACGACTACCGGAAGCACCTGCATATTTACACGGAAACGCGTAACGTAATTATCGAGAAGAATAGATTTCTTCGAACCAAGCTTCGGAACGAGTTTGTATATTGGCGGGAGACGAGATTGAATAAACGTGGACGAGATCGAAGACGACACTGGTTGAAGTTCTTTTTCTAGATTTTCCCACGACTGTAATGTATTTCCGGAGTTAAATACCAAATAGAACAGCTGCTAGAGGTGAGAGAAAACTGCAGAGAGGTGAGAGAAAATTTTTAATTTTGAAAAAATGTAATAATCAAAAATACTTCCTCCGTGTAGATAAATTTGGCAGCTTTAGTTTGGTGATCAAAGAGGTTACCGAACCATCAAACTTTTTAGAGATCATATGAGCAGCTAATTTAGTAATTTGATCTAAATCTTCTTTATACCATTTACTGTCATAAACTACACTAGCGTAATCTAGCCTACTCAAAATACATGCTTTAAAAATGGCTAAACGGACCTTTACCGGAGACTCCCTGAACGTTCTAAACATTGCACCTAATTGTCTTCTACATCCGAGGATTACGTCTTTAACGTGCTAACCCCACGACAGATTAGACGGTAATTTTACTCCCAGAAGTACTACTGATTTTTCCCGTTTTATGATCGAGCTATTGATCGAAAAGCTCAGGTGATCCGCTACAGATTGGTTAGATTGTGAAGCAGGTTGGAGTTGGTTGGATTTGTGAAGTAAATCCACGCGCATTTAGAATAGTTAAGGGACATGAGATTCAGTTGGCACCACTCCTCAATTTTATCGATGAAAGTCTGACACTCGGTTACCGAACCTACAACATTTGCAGGACATAATAGCGAGCAGTCGTCAGCGAACAGAACGGATAAAGATGGTAGCAAAGTCACCATCGGCAGCTCGTTTTTAAAAATCAAAAACAGCAGAGATCCCAAAATAGAGCGCTGAGAAACTCCAGATATCACTCCTACCGTTCTTGAAAACGAGGAGCCTATTCGAACTCTTTGATGACGATCTGTTAAATAGCTCTCAAACCATTTATATGGAGCTCCTCTTACGCCCAACGAAGATAATTTCGAAAGTAGTATCTAATGAGGCACCCTGTCGAAAGCTTTTTCGAAATCGAACAGAACCATGATGGAATCGGTTCCTGTATTCAGAATTATGAAGATGTTTTGTGTCAGGTAAAGAAGAGCGTCCATCACGGAACTATTTTTGCGAAATCCAAACTGATTTAGAAAAAATTTGTGTTTGTTCAAATACGAGAGAGAAGCTGACCATATAGGAAGCGTTCGAGAATTTTGCCAATTATAGACAACAAGGATACAGGGCGGTACTTCTCAACTAATGCTTTTGGACCCTTTTTGTGAATTGGAATAACATTAGTTAAATTCCACAAAAATGGATGAATGCCATTGGATATAGAAAGAGAAAATATATGGTGAATGGGATCGAGAAGCTGAAAAGAACATTCCTTAAGAAAAGGAACTGTCATGCCGTCGGGACCGGCTGCTATATCATTTTTGGGATTGCTTATTGCTTTTAAAATCTGATATTTGGACAGTGGAACTAATGTAAAAAATGTCATCAATTCGAATTCTTGGTTTCGAAGTTGATCCTGCTCTTGGTACAAAACATTTCGCTTTTTACCTACTTAGTTATTGATGAATATTTAACTTCTCAACGCGTATTTGTAATTAAGGCTCAGCCGTAGATTACTACCAATCATGATTTTAGAAAATCACAAAATTCATGCTTATAAAAGATATATATTTATTTTATCAAAAGAACATAGAATTTTGTACAACATAATAACAAAAAAGGGATCTCTTATTAGCGAAGACCATAAGATGTGCCCTGTTCATTGATAAAATCTTGAATGAAACTTTTTGAATCCTCAATCTGAGATTTTTCCATCGAACTCGAATTGTCATCGATTTCATCATCGACATCCAAATTTTTTCTAGATGTTGCCATTGAAATATTCACTAGAACATAAAAGAATAATCAAAGCCAGAACATTCAATCTCTATCAATTCATAAATATCTATCAGTATTTGATTCAATGAGATAAAAATGAAACTCATGATTAACAAAAGTTGTTAAATGAGAGAAAGGCTAAAAGTTTTCTACTGCTTAAATACTTGAACAACTGAACTATTTTAAAAAAAAATAGGTTGAGATCATTACTTAAACTGTTGATATTTGCTTTTCGAACAGCATTTGAGCGAGCCACACGACACGTGTTGTTCAAAGCTTCATTGATCTGAGATTTTGTAACCGTTTCCGTAGGAAACACTTGAGTAATAAAATCTTTAACACAGATGAACAAAAACTCGTAGGAACAAAGAAACAAAGTTATGTGCGTGCATACCATACACAGCGTCTTTAAATTCTTGTGGTATGGCATCGGCTCTTGTGTTTATCAATTCATCTTTCGAGTAAACGTGACGCATGATCGAGCGAGCCGTTGACGTTGGATTTTTTGCGATTAGTTGTTGAAGACGTGTTTGAGTTAAATTGAATCGTTTTTGAAGCTAAATAAAATTTTGTTCATATATAGAGATTGTGCTCAAGCATTTTTACAAGTATAGATTTACAACGAGATTTTTCGGAATTGCTGGAGGTTCTTTAACGACTTTTGACTCAGCACGTGTAACGCTAACAGCTTCTTGTACATCACCCTGTTGTTCAAACGTTTGGATTAAACCTCTAAGCCACGGTAAGATTTCTATGGGTGGTAACTCTATAAATAAAAGTTACGTTTTCTGTCCATACTGCCGAATGTTACTTGTAACTTACGGTAACAAGCTCTTCTCAAGATATTATGATCTTGACGAAGCTTTTGATAGTCAACTAATAGAGTTTCATATTTTTTTAGAAGTTCTGTATAACTCAATGAGTTAGTCATTTTTTCTTTGGCAGATTTTTAACAATATACTCAACGTTAAAAAATGTAATATGTCAGTCCATATTTCTTTCTAACGAACAAACTACACGAACGTTTTTTCTTATTCTTCACAAACCACGAATATAGTCTATAGAAAGGCGGACGCACACTCTCCGCTCTAATAAAAAAAAGAAAATCTTAGGGGAAAAAGAAAAAACTGACACGACGAGGGGATTTTTGTTCCTATGTCTTTCTTTCGTTAGGGTATGTATAACGATCAGAAACTACGTTACGCTTTCTATATGAAGAAAGAAAAACGTCTACGAAAAAACGTGTGTTACTCACAGAACGCATACAAAGGTAAACGCCGTGCCGTTATACATCTATTTCTAAACCGATTACATACTTGACATTAGATGAAATTTATGACACTGTAATGTTAAAAATCATACAATCAATATATTATTTAATGTTTAAAAGTGAAGAGCATATTTACTCTCGCTCTAAGCCGCAGCAGCTGGAAGCTATTCTGATTTTTCAATGAGTAGTTCACGCAATTGATATATCAAGGCTTGCTGCTAAATTATTCAAAACCGGTTTTAATTGATAGTGGCAGGACTTTACAAGAAATGTTTTATTTAAATTTGCAGCTATATTCATGTTAGATTTCAATTTAATTTAATTTAAGATAAAAAAATCTTAAATTAAACTAAATGGAAATCTAACAAAAAATGGCCACGCCGCCTACTGGTATTAAACATGAATATAGCTGCAAATTTAAATAAAATATTCAAACTGTTTTAATGTTTTGTAAGATAAATCTATTTTATTAGTATTTTCTAACAGTGCATCGAGATTTTGAACATAAAGCGTTGTATGGACAATAATATGTGCTTATTGCGAGTGCTTTTCCATTTTTTTAGCAATGCAAACTCACTAGATGAACGTTTTGGATCTAAATAAAAACAAAATGAGTTTTCATTTTATTTTGGCCTAAAACATTTATCCATTAAATTTGTAAGCAGAGAAATACACAAGTTACAAAAACTAGAAAGCAATTATGCTGTGCACAAGTTGCGATATCCACAGACTTTCTCTGCTGACCGCTGCCAAAAGTTATCAATTCATTCAATAGATTTTCACTGTACCACTTTCACTGTGATTTTCTGTTTCAGCTACTTTAAAAGAGATAATTAGAGAGAATTATTTTCCTTCTTAAGAACAAATGGCACCGGACAACTGGTGCTCATGAACTTTCGAGCCCAAAACACATTTTTCTTCCAGTTGTGCAGCTTAGGGCGCCGAATCTGGACTTGTGTTTGTAAAAAGAACGTGTATTTGTCAATCTGCAGTATGCACAGACTGCACAGACTATCCTCCCATTTTCAGAAGTTTTCTGCAACGTAGTTTGCTAGACAGAGGCCTGAATTTGGTAGGGGGGTATACACCGCCCTTTCCCGAAAAATGCTTTCCCTTTTTTCTCAGCGAAACTAAAAAGCCTTTTTTGCTTGTTTTGATCGCGCAGCGAAAAAATGTTTTCTTGCATTCCCCCAAAAAACTCGTACATATTTTGCAAAAAAAAGTGACTAAACAAGTCAAGCATTGCAACTGTGCTACACACAAGTTGCGATGTCGACAGACTCGCACGATTATGTACAGAAAGAATTATAGAATTTTTGACAAACTGTTTTCAGTAAAATCTCGTAAAAAGATATATTGAAAAATGATTATCACTCTCAAGCTTACAACGTAAAAAAAAAACATACAACGCAAAATTACAACGTAAAACGTTTTTTCTTCATAACAAATGCCGCCAGACAGCGAAGATATGAAAATTTTCCAAGGTTTTGACATATTATTTCCTCCACTTTTGGACTTTATGCGTCCAAGTCATTTTTAAAAAAACGAATATTCAATTGCCAATCTGCAGCGTCCAGAAAACTTTCCCCTGTTTATAAATCTTTTCTACGTTGCGTAATTCTCTAGATCACATCGTGAACATTTCGCAAAAGAAATGACTAAACAAAAACATAGAAAGGCCAAAATTCCTGCAAAAACTCATAATGTCTGTCAACATAACTGAATTGCAATTGTGCTGCGTACAAGTTGCGATGTCGACAGACTCGTCCTCTACCGACAGCTGCCAAAAGTTGTCAATTCAGCCAGCAAATTTCCACTTCACCACCTTCACTGTGATTTTGCCGCCGGACAACAAGCTGCTAATGAATATATAAAAAATTTAAGTCTAAAGTCAATTTTCTTTCAGTTTTCAAACCCTGTGGCGCCGGATCCAAAGCGAATTTTGAAAAAAGAACGCGCAATGATCAATCTTCGGTACTCAGAGAACGACCTCCACTTCTCAAAGCTTTTCTACGTAGCATAATTCTCTACCCTGGTAAAAATCTTAGACATTTCTTAAAATTATCTTACTAAGATCTTATAAGATCTTATCCTTTAAGATTTTAATAAAATAATCTGAGATCTATCATTTAAGATCTTAATAAGATTTAATGACGTTACTTTCATTCACCCCTTGTTTTGCTCTCATTACATCTATTTAAGTAACACAGAAAATATGAGCGACTTTACGGTGATTTTTCTTTTAGACTCTGCCAGTACTTTCCTCTCGAAAGTGTTCGACAGCCTTTTAGAGAATGTACATGCAGGTCAAGATCCATGGTAGGGTACCAAAAAATATGAAATTTCTCTTCATTCTTCAACACTGCTCAACTGCTGCTTTGGTAATGCAGATTAAAAATTCAAAAACTCTCAGCGAATCTCGAAGATATTATTAAAAAAACGTCATCATTCTTACTATTAAGATCCTAACAGATTTTTATCCAACCTTGAAAAAATCTTAAATAGTATAGTCTTATTAAGATTTCGCTTACAGTCTAAGATCTTAGAAAAATCTTATAAAATCTTAGAATTTCGGGTCTCACGATCTTAGACAAATGTAAGCGAAATCCTACTAAAATCTTAATAAAATTTTTCTAAGTCTTGGTAAGATTCGAGTGAGTTTCTCACTGGAGATAGATCATGTCGTGCACATTTCGCAAAAACGATGACCATCCAAAAAACGCAAATGCCTAGCTAAAACACAATGTCTGTCGACATAAAAATCTCTGAACGCTTGTATAATGTTTGTCGACATAATTATTTACCATACCATATCATCTTATGCGATATCTGTGAAAATAAATAAAAGATCTACTTCTTTGTTTTATAAACAACTGATCAAACGCAAAAAACGCATCCTTTAACAGAAAACATATGACACCAAAGCAAAATCATTAATCGTAATGGCATGCGAAATCTGTCGCCTGAAACAGGAAAAATAAATGTGAGCGTATAATGCGAAAGAAAAAGCCGTGACAGAATAGTTTACGTTGACAACGTTAAAAGTAATGTTTTCCCTAGATGCCATGACTAGGATGTTTTAAATAACGTTAAATTTTAAAGAGAAAATGTGACACTGCAAAAGAGCCATATCACTGAATCGAAAAATTTTAGAAGTTTTTTCGCGGAAAACCGATAGATTCGTCTTCTCCATAGTCGTTTATCCGGTATATGATAACTTTTGGATCGCGGTACTTTAGAAAATTTTTTTCTTATAGTCTTACTAAAAAATTTTTCAAAAAGTTACTGTATGGGACCAAAGGCAAAGTGATGTCAACACATTTTTCTAACGTATCCCAACTCAAAAGTTATCGCGTACTAGATAATCGACTGTGAAGGAGACGAATCTATCGGATTTGATCAAACAAGCTTCTGAAAATTTTCGATCCAGTGACATGTATATTTTTACTGTGACTTTGCTACGGATTTCCAGCAGTGGAATCTAGTAAACTAAGTCTTAGGGTTAATTTGTGAGCTATGTTGATGGTAGCTCACAAAATAGAATATTGCTTTTAAATATACAGAATTCTTTAGAATTTAATACTAAATATTAACGTCGGTAGAGGAAGCCACTATACGATGTATCATAAAATTCTCAGTCGGTCTGGCTATGCTTAATTGTCCTTACGTAGTTTAGTTGCATACCTACTGTACTGAAAATATTATTTTCAAGAAAATTCGGTTCTATTAGATGGTCATTGTCGTCTTGTTCATAACACAGAACATAAGCATATCAACTCGCTGTACCCGTACGATTATCAACATTTGATCAGCATTTGAAACACGATAGATTAGCAGTATTTTATACTGCGTTATTAATGCATCCCTACGAATTATTACGTCTACAAATAATGGTATCTTTTTTTCCACTATTGATTCTCCTTGATGCATTGTAGTACCATCATACACTACATCGATAATTTTCGAACAATTCATAGATTTGTAAATTTTTGAGTTATCAGATCGAAAATGTTTTATTTAAGTTAATAAATTTCTCTATGAATGTTTAAAAAGTTAACTTTTATACTAGTTGTTTTCATCGCATGATTTTTGACAATCAGAATCGACTATTTCATTATTTGCACATATTAATCTTATGCAGTAAGTGCCCAATGATTGTTCTAAAGAAACTCGCAAACTTTAGTGTTCTTCTGACTTTTGTATGATAATATAACATGTAACAAATTGCAGTCATTTGCTTAAAACCAAAACCAGATGACATCAGTGACATTCAATAGAATGAATCAGTATTTTCCTGTATACTTCGTTATCGAATAGTTTCATGGGACTTGGCTTTGACAATTACGAGATGCTTTTCACGAAACCTTCTGAAAAGCAGCTAAGCATCAAACGCATCATGTGAAAGTTTTTTATTCATGTCAGTGTAAAGGACACAGCAAAATATGTTTTCTGAAAGTTAGATATTTTTCTTAATACACACAGGCACGTAAATGAACACCACATTAAAACAAGGCACGAAACACCAACATATAGACAAAGGAAAACACTGACTAAAAAAAACATTTTTGAGTTTACTGTACTTCCAGCATTATCTTAAGATTTAAACAAAAACAGAGTAAAAAAGTCAAACAAAAAACAGTTTTTTAAAAATGTAGTAGTAGAAGAAGAAAAGATACTAATAATTCGAATAAAGGAATGTGTAAACGTGTGCATAATGAAAACAAAAGAGAATAAAGGCATTTCGATTCATGTAATAAGGCAGGACGGATCTCATAGACGTTCTGTCTTCATTTCTTATTCTTCACGAAAAGTTGTCAAAACCGGAATGCAATGCGACAAAGAGTACAAAGTATCCAAATCATAGAAAAATATGTAATCATTATCAATTAAGTTTAAGAAAATACCAATGTAATAGATACCGTTGTATATCTTCTTAAAAATCTAACAAAATAAAACTAAAATAAATGAAAAAGAAAATGATTAACGAAGGCACAGTTGGTGTTGTTCGACGTTAATTGTATTTCTTAACCAACAGTTTGATGATGGCATTTATTAAGAATTATAATATAATTGTTCTTTTGAGGTGCGACAACATAATGCAATGGCGAATATAAATGCAAGAAGCTAAAAATGAACATAATATATCAAGTTGATTAGAGCATTAATCCGCATGGAACCGATGAGATGTTGATCTTCTTCTCTTTACGTCTTAATCTAAATTTTTATACGATAGAACTGTTAACTCGTAGTGGAATGGAATTAACTTATGAGTACCATTAGCTTATACTACATCATCAACTGATTAAAAAATGCTTCATGGTTGAAAAATAAAATTTAATAATGGGTAAGTCCAAGTCCGACCCTGCAAAATTTCCGTATGGACTTGAAACTTGAGATTTTGTGAATACTATCGGACTTTAATTTGAGGATTAAAGTCAACTTTGTTGTCAGTTTCTGATATCGTTGCTCTTACGTATGCGGTAAGACACCATACAGTACTCAGAAAATTGAAATAGAAAGAGATAAACGAAAAGCTAAAATGTAAAGGGTTGGAAAAAATGTACTCTGAGGAAAATCATAGTCTTCGGAAAGAGAAATTGAGACCTCAAGCAGACTAAACCTATTACGGAAGAAGTAAGAAAGAATCAAACGATGGACATGAACATGAACTTGATCGCGATTACATTCGGACTGGGACACGTTTCATGATAGAGTTAGACCTATCCTGGCTTGCTCATGTGTGGTGTAATCAAAGTTTATAATGTCAGCATGCAGCGTAAAATATGGAAATTTCAACTTACTTCTATGACAAGAACAATCACTGCTCCGATGATAACATATAATTTGTAAGAACCAATTAATTCGATTAGCTTATTGTAACAACCCTATAGAAAATAAGCTTAATACTACAACACAAGTACGCTAGTACCAATATTGGAAAGGCACAAGAGACGAGTTCAAATACACCGCTGTACATTGAAACAGGTAGCAAATCGATTTTGTTTCATTCAATCTGTTAAGCCCCGAATACAACATAGAAACAGTTTCTACAGAAATTCATTTCTTTTTCAAAACAAAAAAGAAGAGAAATCTCGGTCACAAAATGATCTTAACACATTCAGGACTGCCATCGAGTTTTCTCCATATGGGCGATTGCATCAAAATTATCACTCTCCTGTCACTTGTCTTATATCAAAACACTACCGATGTGGGTAGCACTGAAGAGTCTGAAAAAGTTATAAGTTGATTTATAAACATTTCATTATAAATTTTTTGATTTATAAATGAGTCTATAAACGGTTTTCCGCTGAAAAATTGACTGAAAAAAGTTGAGAGTGATAAATATTTATAGACAAGCGTATTTCAACCTCTTTGTAGTAGGTAGGTTTGTATATGTCCACACTCGATCTATACACATATTCATTCATTTATATTAAAAATATAGAAATTATATATTTACATATGAATCTGTTGTTTTTCTGTTCTTCTGCTTTATTTGAACTGCAGACAAAGTTGTTTCTCTTCATGTTTAGTAGAAGAATGCATGATTGTAATACTCATTCTTTCATTTTCTATTTCTTGTTCAATATAACTAGTTTTCCAAGCATATTCTTCTCAACATATAAACAAAACTCGTCATGTTGTGAGTGTTTCAGCATGGTGCAGTATAGATTCGGCATGATGTGACATGTGACCTGGGAGTCTTTAGATAGCCGCTGTGATGACACATCACGCTTCTCAACATGAAAGTTAACACTACACTCGAACAACGTCCGTCATCTGTCAGATGCTGCAGGAGTTATGATTACTAGGATAGCAACGTCATGCTTATCACTGACAGACCTATTTCTTACAAGTACGATACAACGAAACCGACACTCATCGTTTGAAGGAATTAAGGCATCATGGCTTAAAAATGACCGGTCTCTGATAAAAGGTCATCAAAACTATGGCCGAATCTGAATGTGTTAACAAAATGATCAGCTTCACCATTTCGCTCATCAACAGATCTCACGTTCACTGACGCCTTATACAACACGCTTCCACTAATGCGATTCTGAAACATCGACTACGCGGAGCTACACTTGCACCACCATCTTATCTAGTACAGTAATGCAGAAAAATGATTCAACACACTGAATGGAGTAAAAATAAATTAGAATATATAAAATAATAATCTTGATGAATATTATTTCACAAGCACGAAAAGAAAAACAATTAGACTCAAGAATTTCTCTTACACTTTAACTACAGAAACAAAGTACCGAAAGTGTCTTACATCTTTATAAATGTTAAGTCCATCGACAGCACAAGTTTCTGCTTGTTTAAGTGTATCTTCTGATAAAGTATTCCAGTCTTTAGGAGCATTTTGAATCGGACCTAAAACATACCAAAATAGTGCAAATTAGTAAGAAGTCACTTGTCACTACTATACACTGGACGAGAAATGCTGACACCATCGACATCTTAGCTACTGCTTGAGCAGACAAAATGAGTAATAGCTTACAACATGTCAAAGGATAAGATAAATTTTGATATGGTGCCCATGGATTGGTTTTATTCCATTTAGGTGTATTGACAAAGTCTGTTCCATTTTGTGCACCACAACATTGCAACTGCAGAAAGTAGAGAAACAAGCTTGTAACATAAACAGCCCCAAAGACAATACAAACACAAAACTTACATTAAACATAATAAAATCCCATGCTAAACTGACCACACCGGGTTTATTGCCCATAATTGGAGGACCAGCATAGTTCTGCGAGATTGATTGTTGTAATTTTGGAACGAATTGATCTTTGAAATTTGATTGAAATGCAACGAAGTAGATAGTTAATGCGACTTCAGCGAGTATAATTGCTCCAATAATAAATGAATACTATTAAAAACACACAATAACGATTTAATCTTCAACATTTAAAATATCATTTCAGATCATATACTTACCAATGTGAGCATACATCTCACTTGTTTCATTGCACCGCAACAGCCAAGAAATCCGAGAACCAGCAAAATTGAACCAAGAACAATAACAGATATTGCAATCATTTCAATATACGACATTCCCTGCTGAATATTGGGATCTGAACAAGAAAGAGAAAAGAATTAACGATAATATCTTTAGAAATTTTAGATTAATAACTCACCGGAACTAATAGGTAACAATTTTTTTAGTTTTTGAAACTTTGGATCGACCATCACGTAGATGCCAAGAGCAAGAAGAACTGCTCCAATAATCTGCAATAAGATTAACAAGTAAGTAATGGGGATTTGAAAGTTCAGAAAATATTTCTCTCAGTTGCAGAACCGAACCACTTAGTATCTGAGTGAAAAGTGAGGGTAATGGAATAAAGGGCGCGATAAAAAAATACTTTGAATATGAAATCTTTAAATGATAGATTTCATCACTATAAATAACATTAAATCATAACACTAAATCTTGTGTCAAAACTTTTTTCATTTTTTTTGCATACTTTTACATTTTTAACATCTCTGTAGAAGAAATTCTCTAGTTTTGACATAACTGATGCTTCACGCTAGTTCATTCACATAAAGATAGTAGCGAGCGTTTGCATGATAGTCTGGACGGATATTAGAGAATTTTCAAATAGTTAAAATTTGCGAGAAAGGTCATTATCACTACTATATCGGAGTGTGTTACGTGTAGAACACATAAGGTCGCATGTATCCTTAACTTTGCATATATTGATCAGTTTCATTTTCACTATAGTAGGAGTGTGTTTTATATTAGAAAGTATATAGTTTAGAGAAAAGAATTGACATGACTGATGAGGTATAGACATGCTCTCACGATTGAAGAGTGCTGAAAAAATCTCTAATTCTGTTATCCATTTCTAATCTTCCAAATGGGTTTACTCTCATAGGTGTCCCATCCTTTCTGCTACGTGTATGTATCTAGATCATGTACAAAGAGAAAAAGTGATATTAAACTTACAAAAAATAAAATATTAAATGTCACAATAATGAATCGAATCAATTTCATGCGACAACTCATACCACCCCGACCATGTCCACGTGCCATTTTTCAAATTTAAATCTAAAATATAAACAAGATTTAGATAAAGATTAACGATTGTAGGCTTTCGTCACAATTTCAGACATCGAAACACGCGTTACATCTTACTTGTCTAAAACTATACTTGAAACAAAAGTCTAAATGAAAGTTTTATATATCAGTCTACCACATCTGGTGTCAAATAAAAAATAATAAAAAAATTTATTTTATCGAAAACAAACTCATAAATAGATTATGAAACTCGATTCTGAAGCGCTTCTCTCATCTAAAAATTTTTGGTATCATGTCATTTCACGTCAAGGATAGAATAAACAAAATAGATTATAGAGATTTTTCAAAGAAAACGTACTATGCCTCTCTCTCTCTATATATATATACATATACATCTAACGAAAGAGAAGAAGAGAGAGACCTAACTAGTTCTCTGTGCTGCACGTCATTTAATACACGTTTATTTTAAAATATGACGTGTATAGGGATTTTTCTAAGATATGGATTTAGAAACGACCACGATGATGATTACATGATGCGTTAGCTTTCACTTACACAAAAAAAAGTAAAACATTTCTTTTTTCTTCTTCTTTTTATCATTATGGCAAAAACATGATTATTGTTAAAAACTAAAAAAAAAGGAGAGAACAGGAACAAATAAAACCGGAAGAACTCTAGGCTGTTATCTGTATCAAAACAAAAACTTCAGAATACACTAACGAGAAGAACTGTGAAATAAAATCATACTTCATGCCAAATGTATAGTCTATTTACCCGTTAAAGGTCAGAATGATGATGAAACAACTGTTTGAAAAAGATAAATTACAAAATGCAGTCGAATTTAAAAAATAAAACAGCAGGAGGTATCAGTCAACTAAATCAAATCCGTTCGATCTTTACTTGTCTTACATTTAACAATGACATGGTACATCAAACATATATTTCAAAACAAAGCGTTTACTTTCTAGGCGAAAATATTTGACTGACAAGAGGACAGAAGATTAGACGAAGTCTGCATAGAACTTCTCGATCAAAAATAATTCACATTTTTATTCCTTTCAAAAAATTCCTTTCTAGTTGTACAGCTCACGGTTAAGTGGCTCTTAGCTCTTTCTTCTTTTATACAAGAAAGTACTTGGACAACACACACGTTGCTAGGTTAAAACAGCGCATATTCTTAAAAAATAAAATGAAACACAAATGATTTATGTACTATTTTTATCACTAATAATCACACGCATATTCACTAGTCTCTGAAAATTATAGTAATGCTTATATCGTACGGCAATATAAAATGATCTTAAGATCTACAATGCTTTTACAAAAACTGTGTAGTATTTATAAGAAAAAAATATATATAATTATTTTTCGTACAAAATTTGAGTCTGATAGTATCAAAATTTAGTATTAAATGTCAGTTTCTAACTGATCTCATTCTATTGCAGATTTCTGACGAGAGTGTAATAAGCGACAGAAAAATATGACTAGCGAAAAATTCAACTGTGTCCTTAAATCGAGTTCTTTAAAAATCATAAACGATATTTCTGTTTGAAATATGTAAGAACCATATAGTCTAAAAAAATTCGGCTAGTAAAAATCCAACTTATGCCGTCTTATTTTCACAAGTATTTTTAGAATGCATTGTTTTGGTTTCTTATTTTGTCAAACAAGAAACTGAAATGGTTTTTTTCCAAAAAATGATCGTTTTACATGCAGTGCATAATTCTGATTAAGATTTGGCTACTTTTTTCGTAATTGATATTTTTCAGGTAATGAAACTAAAACAAGTAAAAACAATTAGAAATTATAATATTCCTGAGAGTGCGTGATGAAAAAATTTTTCACAGATTATAAAGGGTGTCACAGAAGTTCTGAAATGATTTCTAGAATTCATCGTTCTAGAAATCGTTTCAGAACTTCTGGGACATCCTTTATAGGTTAAGTCACAAAAAAAAATTTAAAGACTACGGTTACAGGTCACCAAAATGTTCTGAGCTCCGCACTACCAATCAAGATTTCAAAATAACATGAGACATCAACCGGGATCCTAATCAAATCAGAATTACATTTGATAATAAATCGAAGTCAATTATATAAACCTATGTTTCTAGCCTATCGAAGCGGTTGCTACGTGTGATTATCGGGTATGCTAAAGAATTGTCTACAGGTGAATATTTTTATTATATATTTTTACAAGAATACTGCATAAAATGTTCATTCATCTTCTCCAATAGAAAAGCTTTTCGAAACAACATTTGAAAAAAGGATGCTACTACCACAATTCTGCACATTTTTCAACCGTATGTTCACAAGTCTTGTATCAGTTTTCTGTGTAACACAACAAGCATGGCATTCAAACTCTTGAATAAGCAACCAGTTCGAACGAAAAAAGTGAAGGAAAAAAGCTCAGTTTTTCGAAAAAATAAATTTTCTTAACTAGCTCAAATATGATGAACGATTTCAGCATATAGATTCAATAGAGAAAAGTGTGTTCTACAAACTGATGTAATGTTCTTTTCCATTCAATCTTACGTCGTTGATATGGAAATGAGAATGCACATGATTGGAAAACGTGCAGAATTGTGGTAGTAGCACCCTCCCTATAGTGAGATCAAATACTTAGCTACTTGCAAATTTTCTAAAGTACTTGCTTGGTTAAGCGCTTGTCAAGCATTTTTAGATTTAATACCTGCCAAATACTTGGAAGAATTTCGGATACTTGCATATATTTCGCAAGTACTTATCAGGTTACCTGTCAAATACTTAATGAAGTACTTATCTAGTACTTATACTTGTTAAATTACCTGATAAATATTTTTTTTACTTGCAAAAAACTCCAGGTACTCTAGATATTCCTTACCCAAGTACTTTGGTCTCAAGTAAATCCACTAGGGCTTGTTTCAAATGTTGTTTCGAAAAGCTTTTCTGCTGAAGAAGATGAATGAATATTTTCTGTATTACTTGTTACGATTGTTTATTTTCATATAGTAAATAAAAGTTGTCAACAGCAACTTTTTGATGATAGACGAATTAAGTCATGATGTACACATATTCTGCGTATTCATATTTTACCCTCTGCTTTTCAAAAAGCTATTAATAATGTTATTTTATGTCGTATACAAAAGTAGCAAAAATTTAAATCACTAATTCTTACAAAAATTATTTCTAATAAAAGTGTAGACTTGCATTTCGTTTATATATATGCGTAAGAAATTTAAGAAAAAATTACAGTTGACTATTTTTCTGAAATATATATTTTTTTATCTAACTATCTTAAACAATTGTTTCTCCTGTTGTTCTGACTGTATTCGCTTGCCCCAAGTTTAGCTGAACGTTACTTTTTTTTCGAAATAAACATAAGTTTAAAATCATTCGAACGTTGTGTCATCGTCTATGTCCAATATTCAATCTAGAATAGCGTAGTGTCAGGAATGAAAAAGAAAGAATTCATGAGACTAATATAATTGACCGTAACTACTTATATTAGAGTTGCTTCGTCAACTATTTGTTGTCTAGTTTTTTCAAAGTAGTTCGTGCTTGCTAACGATAATGTGTGTGAAAATCAATAGATACTGATTGAGTTTCTTTGATTAAATCTACTTCTAATTATGATCATTGTCTCAAAACTAATGTTAAATAGTATATATGTTAAAGATGAACGAAAACAAATGATAGTGTAAGAATTTAGTAAATAACAAACATTAAAATGTCTACTTACGTGACATTCCCAATATAGACCGCATTTATATTCAAAATAAAAAAAGTTTGATTAATACGTACTTACACGTACACACACAAAAAAACTTTATATATCACTAGTACTATACTACCACCTAGGCCATCATAAAAATAAAAGAGGAAAAAGAAAATAATCTATATAACGGAAAGTTCGTTTTTATTTCATGTTTATTTAAGACCGAATAGAGTGAGAAGAAAAGAGAAAAAAATCTATCTTACAATAAGATCATAAGCAAGATACGGACCCATATTTCTTTCTCTATCTCAACTTGAAATAGGTTCATGTCTGTGAATATGTAGGTATGTTATGTGTCATATATATGGTCACTCACCAGCAATAGACACAGAACGACATATTTTTTTTCCCATTCCATACAGGATCTTCAAAGTCTCTGTACATAACATGTCCATTTTTTTTAACAAAAGAAAGAAAAAAGAATGAATATCTGCCTAGTAAATAAAATTGAATACAAAATCGAAAATCAAGGAAACAAATGCAAAACTGGCATTTGCTTTTGTGTAATCTCTTTCCCTTGTCAGTCAAATATTTTCGCCTAGAAAGTAAACGCTTTGTTTTGAAATATATGTTTGATGTACCATGTCATTGTTAAATGTAAGACAAGTAAAGATCGAACGGATTTGATTTAGTTGACT